TTCAAAACCATTCATCATATGATAATCAGTGTAACCGTATTTGTGTATACCTGAATAAGGTAACTTATTCTATTTTATAAATAACCTCTGCCATCTTCCCATCTAGTGTACTCCATCCGCCAATCACTCCGAAATAGATTATTATCATTAAAACGATTTTGTGACTTCAATAATTTTGGAGAATTGTTGGGAGATGAATGCTTGTTACCATTAGCAACACTGGCGTCAGGAATAAAAAAAAAAAATCCGGATTAATTATGAAGAGAAGCGATCAAGTGGTAAATATTGATCAAGGGTTCTCAGATTGTTATGTGTATTACAGGAATTTTGAAATGTATTTGTATTATCTGGAACTAGCAAGTGGAACGAGTCAGATTCATCCATACCTCCCAGGGGCTTCCAGCAAGGGCAATACTTTGAGAGGATTTTGGGGGTCAACGCCTCCGCGGCCTGGTCTGAGACCAGGCCTCGTGGTGGATCAGGGCCTGATCAACCAGGGTGTTACTGCTGGTCGCACGTAGTTCAATGTACGAACCACAGCACGGCTGATCAGGTACTGACTTTGGGTGCCTGTCCAGCACCTTCTTGAAGACAGGCAGAGGTCTATTGGTAATCCCCATTTTGTACGCTGGCTATATACCCAAACGTTTCGCCTACACGGTAGGCTTCTTCAGTCGAATACCCGGAGTATACCCAGAATACAGAAGAGGCAGTATTATTACAATCAAAACTAAGAGCTAAACCCACAAGGGTCATACAGCAGTAGAAGCAGTAGAGATGTGAAGACGATGTAATCAGTCCATCATTCTCGTAGACGTAGTTTTGAGGTGGTCAGTCGCTCAGCCTGGAGAAGTCCCGCGAGGAAATAATGACCCATCGGATTAGCTTGGAGGGGCGAGAATAAACGCTCAGAGCTTTATTGATCATACGAGACTGTTTTTTTTTTTATATACACAGGGTTTGACAAGGTTAGGTTAAGGATCCCTAGCTTTATTGACAAGCTATTTACAGGTTAAGGATTCCTAACTTTATTGGCAAGCTATTTACGGGTTAAGGATTCCTAACTTCATTTGCAAGCTAAGAGCTGTTGCCTACATCAGCTCATTTGAAAGCATTTTTATTGTTATGAGACTTACAAGTAGGGAACAGGATGAAGTTGGAGCCATCTGTGGGCCAGCATTTTCATTTGATCAACTGACTTTATCTCGTTGACATCATTATGCTGTACGAATGTGTTCCATACTCGAGTCATCCTGGGTATATATGATCTCAGATGGAGTGATGTTCTGGAGAAGGGTACAGCCAGAGTGAAGTTGCTGCTTTCTGTCCGTCTTGTGGCATAAAAGCTTGTTTCACGCTGTCCTCGAAGTGGATCCAAGTGTGGTACTTTGACAATATTGGCCTTGTACATAACAGTAAGGCCACCCACATCCCTCCTGTGTTGAAGGCTCTGCAGAAATAACAGATCTATCCAGGATGGGTCCAGGCGAGAGATGAGACATCTTGCTCTGTTCTCTACTCTGTCAAGCAGTCGCAGATGAGAGGGGGGGCAGGCAAACCAAGAAATTAGAGCATACTCAAGGTGTGAGCATACTTGTGTCTCACACAGAATCTTTCAACCCTACTGTCAAGCAGATGCGAGATACGGCGAAGTGCTGTAAGCTTCCTGGCTGCCTTATTTGCAAGATTTACAACGTGGTTCTTCATGGTCAGTTTGGAGTCAGATTTCCCCCCAAGGATATCAACTTCTTCCCCAGGAACCAACACTCTGCCATTCATACTAACTACTGCACCGGCATTACCATCATGGTGCCTAGAGATCATCACCATTTGTTTTCTCAGGTGCAAATGTTACTTGCCATATGTTTCCCCAAGCTGCTATAGCTCTTAGCTGGCGATTGACGTAGCTTAGAGCAGCTGCTCCTCTCATACATACTCTCGGTACAGGGAGTATCAATGCCATTATACAATTGATAAGAATTGACAAAGGACCCGGTGAGCAAAACGTCTGGATAAAATTGCCATACACCGCATCTTGTCTCATAAACATACAGGAATTCACATTTTCCCATACGATTTAGAGACTGCCTTTCTTCTTTCCCCCCCTCTGCTTCCTTCTTCCCCCCTCTGCTTCCTTCTTCCCCCCTCTCCTTCCTTCCTTCCCCCCTCTCCTTCCTTCCTTCCCCCCTCTCCTTCTTTCCTTCCTTCCCCCTCTGCTTCCTTCTTCCCCCTCTCCTCCTTCCTTCCCCCCTCTCCTTCCTTCCTTCCCCTTCCTCTTTCCTTCCTCCCCCCTCTCCTTCCTTTCTTCCCCCCTCTCCTTCCTTCCCTTCCTCCTCTCCTCCTTCCTAGCCTTTCCTTCATTCCTTACCCTTCTCCTTCCTTCCTTACCCTTTCTCCTTCCTTCCTCCCCCTCTCCTTCCTCCCTTCCTTCCCCCTCTCCTTCCTTCCCCCTTCCTTCCTTTCCTTCCCCTTCCTTCCTTCCCTCCCCTCTCCTTCCTTCCTTCCTTCCCCTCTCCTTCCTCCTTCCTTCCCCCTCTCCTTCCTTCCTTCCTTCCTCCCCTCTCCTTCCTTCCTTCCTTCCCCCTCTCCTTCCTTCCTTCCTTCCCCCTCTCCTTCCTTCCTTCCCCCCTCTCCTTCCTTCCCTTCCCCCTCTCCTTCCTTCCTTCTTCCCCCTCTCCTTCCTTCCCCTCCTTCCTTCCTTCCTTCCCCCTCTCTTCTTCCTTCCTTCCCCTCTCCTTCCTCCTTCCTTCCCCTCTCCTTCCTTCCCCCTCTCCTTCCTTCTTTTCCCCTCTCCTTCCTTCCTTCTTCCCCTTCCTCCTTCCTTCCTTCCCCCTCTCCTTCCTTCCTTCCTTCCCCCTCTCCTTCCTTCCTTCTTTCCCCCTCTCCTTCCTTCCTTCTTTCCCCTCTCTCCTTCCTTCCTTCCTTCCCCCTCTCCTTCCTTCCTTCCCCCTCTCCTTCCTTCCCCCCTCTCCTTCCTTCTTTTCCCATCTCCTTCCTTCTCTCCTTCCTTCATGCAGGAGCAGCTCTGGGTTTGCAGGCCCTCCCATGCAAGCTCAACTTTCACACGTAAAAGTGTAATTTTTAACAGTGTTTTTCAGGGCGGGAAACTAGAAGTTTATGAATGAAGAGTTCCTTACAATACACTGATAAAACTTTTATCCCAATTCCACCACTTCTTGTTTCGAAGATTCCCAAACACACAAAATGGCAGCCCCTTGCCACTTGGTTCCCCCTTGCCACTTGGTTCCCCCTTGCCACTTGGTTCCCCCTCGCCACTTGGTTCCCCCTTGCCACTTGGTGCTTTGCCACTTGGTGCTCCAAGCAACTGACCGAATTGGCAGTTAGTTCGTGAGTCGTTACTACCTTCCGCTGTGGTTAACGTCTTCACCTTTGCTGCCTCCGCCAACTTTTCCCGAGGCTGTCTCATCAAGGCAATCCAGGATCACGTCTCTGCTTAGCTTGTCAGTCCGGCAGCTTATGGGAAGTTGGTGGTGTATTGTTCTTTGTTGTATTATCTGTTGTATTGATCTGTTGCTGTATTTATCTTGTTGTATTCCTCTGTTGCATTCATCTTGTTGTACTGATCTCTGTTGCTGTGTTGATGTTATATTTCTTTGATGTATTGATTTTTGTTCTTATATTGATCTTTGTTGTATTATTACTATTATTATTATTATAATCAAAACTAAGCACTAAACCCACAAGGGTCATACAGCGAGTGTTGTATTGATCTTTGTGTTGGTTTAATGTCTTTGTTGTGGTTATTTGTGGTGAATCCAGCCGTATCGGTGTATTGATTATTGTTAAGCTGTGTTGTGATGAGCTTCACTCTCTTAGTAGTGGTAGCCATGGACTTGAAGTGCTCAGTGTTGAGGATGGGAATTATGTTCTCATCCTCGACTGTATAATCCACCCACATGGATGGGTAATGTTGGACTAGGATGGGGAAAAATGGGGAGGCAATCAGTTTTGATCAAAGGAACGAGGTAGGATCCACTTCCTTGGTTTAAGAGTCTTCACCGGCATTAAGGAACATCTCTTGAATTTAGAGAGCCCTGTCAAGTTCTTTCGCTTGTAGAAGCATTCATCTCTCCTTGAGATATGCAGTTATGGCTTAGATTGTCACAAGAGGCAGAGGTCTGAGTGTAATGTGTAAGATAAGAGAAGGAAGTGGTATAGATACATTGAAGGGTGTTGTGGAAAGAGGATGGGGGAGGGGGTTGTAAGTGGCTAGTCAGAGCAAGTGGTGAAGGAGTTTGTGAAGGTAGGACAGGCTTGCTGTGACTTAAGCAAGGCAGTGGGAGTGTGGGGACACATGTATTTCCATGGTAGACATAACAGTTGTCTATCTGTGGTTGGTTAATAGTAATTTATGAAGAAATAGTAGTGCTTTTGTTTGGTCTTGCAGTGCCAGGTTTTTGAATTCCTTGGGGGTGAGATGCAAGAGTCGCAGGGCAGCTGCCAAAGGATATGGAAGATGTGGGATAGTGAAGGTAACAGATGAAAAGTAGGAACATAATCTGTGAGATGAAGGTTAAATGAAATCATATACCCTCCCTGAACCACAATCAATCTTAGTGCAGCATTCAGCGTTAGCACGTCCCGGAGACTTCCTCTTGCCCTACTCCATTTATGAGGATGACGCCTCCAGATTTGGCTAAGCTAGACTTGGCAAAACCACCTGATTAGACTAAAGCACTGATGAGTCCCTCAGACCAACTGATTACATTTCAAAGAAATTTATGGGGAAAGTTAAACCATCTGTATGTACCTTGTTAATGCATTGTTAAAAAAAATTAATACACCAATTCTCAAAGCTCCTGTAACCCTAATAACTTATACTATATACCGAAGCTAGATAAATATAGCGAGAGAAAAATAAAATGCATTATGGCACTCGGAAAACTCAATCCAAAAACCGTGGTTTGTGTTTGTCATACAAAAATAATGCAGAGATAATGCATAATAAATGTAATAAATACTAAAATAAAATAACAATGTTAATCTCTGATTTAAATTTATTATAATTTATAAAACAAATTTAATACACTGTACAGTAACTTCAAAATATTCAACCTCGCTGCAATGGGCCTCAAATCCACATGTACATCGCTGCACACTCGCTTTCCAGAGCAGTGAGGTTAAATTATTTATCAATAATACTTGTCATTTGTAAGTTTAAAATAGTAACAGTACTCAAATAAATAAGTTTGAATATGACATGAACATCCATAGACAAAATTCATATTACTAAAGCAAGAGAAGTTGCTAGGACTGGTTTAGTTGGGTAAAACTTTGAACAATAATAAAGGAATATTTTAATATGACTAAGTTAAACAGGAAAGTATACTAGATAAAAAGTATATATGTATTACAATAATCACAACTAAGTGCTAACCCACAAGGGTCTATATAAAATAGATAAGATAATAAATATATGTATATTTAATTAATCATTTTTTTTAACTCGACATTCATCTCCTGCCAAGACAGGGGTGAAGGTTGGTGAAAACTTTCACCAACATTCAAATCTTCATCTTTCCAGAAATGTGCAGCCATAACCAGATTATGCCTCCAAGTGCGACATTCCCACCCTTCCTTCAGGGTGCATGCACTGCCTTTCTCACCTCCAGGACTCTAGTCTGACTAATCAGTTTTGCTGAATCCCTAAGTGTTACTTTGCTCACACATCAAATCATAAGTTGCTTCTCACTATCTAACATGCTCACACACATCTGTTGTATGTCCAAGCCTCTAAAATTCCCACACGCTTGATAAAACCTATGCACGTTCAACTTGGTAACATCTGCATAAGTCTCGCTGTTAGTTCAATAATTTACAACCCACATGTAGGGAATGAAGGTCGAATGATTTATTCTGTGATGTTGTGTAGTTATTTCCAATATGCAGATTAGTCGTGAACTGCCACCCACACAAGCCTTATTCCTCAGTACTACTGTCTATTTATTTTTTTATACCATCTTTTCTCTGCCAGCAGTTTTATATCCAAGGCAGAATGACCTAAAGAAAAAAAAGCACATTCACCATTATTCCCTTGCTATTATAGAGGGCAACTCAAGCACAAATGATGAATGTTGTTTTCCTTCCTCAAGCTGCTGTACCTTGGTAGGAAATGGTAGACATGTTAAAAGAGAGAAAATGACTGAAGACTTCACGATAACATACATTCAAAAATAACAGTTACTAAGATAATGTGCCTCAGAGCTGGTCACTCAAGCATATTAAAACCAAATAATAACCAAATCTGTTTTCTCTAAAATAACATGGTAATCTAAATAGTTAAATAATTTAAATTATTTGAATATATGTTCACACAACTATCAAATATTTATTTCTCAAAATCAAAACAGACTAAAGACAAACCATAAATGTGGACAAAAGAGAAAGTTGAAAGGATCATGAATGAACCAATAGGTCATGTACTTGATTTTAAAATACAGTGGTATCCCGAGTTTCGAACAGTTCCCAACTCGAACAATAATGTAAGTGTATTTTTGTACGTGCTTTTGTAAGTGTATTTTTGGGGTCTGAAACGGACTAATCTAATTTACGTTATTCCTTAAGGGAACAAATTTGTTCGGTAATGGCACTCAGCCTTTTGGAACAAATTATGGCTGAAACTTGAGGTACCACTATGCTCTGATTTAAAATAAGCATTGCATATTTTCTGCATAATTTTGTACATACAGTATTATTATTTTCCACTACTGCATGTTCATCTTTGCTTGTTTCCCCTCTGTTGAAAATATACTCTAGTTGCCAAGAGAAGATTATTAGCATTCTTTTTGTACCACTCTCTGTTATATTCCTTATGCACCTCCTGATGGTCATCCAGAAATTTCTTATAAAACTCTGACATTTCATCTGCTGATAGGCTTTTGCGATCCTTTGTGTCATTTCCGTACTTTTCCCTTAAACGAACTCTAATGAACTCTTCCTTCAACTGAAAATAAATATGTAGTCATGAATAACAACTACAATTAGTAAGATTACATTGCATGAATAAATGGTGAATACTTCCCAGTTTATGATTACTCCATTATCAATGGGCCTACTGGCCCATCCTAGGCGAGTTTTACTCATACATATAACTCGGGGCAAGTTAGTGCTATATAATGTACTGTATTCCAAAAAGATCTCTAGGATACATAGTATACTTTACAGTTGCATGCTTTTTTTATGTTTTTATATTGATGATGAATGAAAAAAAAATTATTAAAAATTCAAAGTAACATATTACGTTTGTGGAGATGAACGCTAAACCTGTTGGATCGTACAGCATCTGAGGACACGGAAAGCAATCAAGTTCGCTCCATGGAAAGAAAGATTTGGTCCAACACCTCACCATCATCAAGGAACCACTTTTGAGGGGTTAACAAAATACTGATGACTACAGTATTTACAAGAAAAAGTTTCTAAATTAAAGCGAATAAAATCTGCCTTGGTGGGAGGTGTCAAGTGTGTTAAAATTATTTTTTTCAACAAACTGACTGTATCCCACCAAGGGTGATGTAAAAAGAAAGAAAAACCCAAAAAAGAAGGAAAAAAACTTTCATCATTCAACACTTTCACATCACTCACACATAATCACTATCTTTGCAGAGGCACTCAGATATGACAGTTTAGAACTCCCTCCAAACTGCCAATATCCCAAACCCCTCCTTTAAAGTATAGGCATTGTACTTCCCACCTTCAGGACTCTAGTATAGATAACTGGTTTCCCTGAATCCTTTCACAAAATATTACACTGCTCAATCTCCAACAGCTCATAAAGTCCCAAAAATCATTCGTCTCCACTCCTATCTAACATGCTCACACATGCCTGATGTATCTTCAAGCCCCTTGCACACACAATCTCTCTTACCCCATACCTCCATCCTTTCCTAGAAAAAAACCCTAGTCCCTCCTTCCCTCCAATACAGATTTATACACCCTCCAAATCACCCTATTCTGCTCCATCCTCTCTAAATGACCAAACCACCTCGACAACCCCTCCTTAACCATCTGAATAATAATTTTAGTAACTCCATACCTAATTTCCACATTACGAATTCTCTGCATAATATTTATTCCACACATTGCCCTTAGACATGACATCTTCAACTGCCTTCAGCCTCTTTCTCACTGCAACATTCACAACCCATGCTTCACACCCACATAAGAGTGTTGGTACCACTATACTCTCATACAATCCCTTCTTTGCCTCATGAATAACATTTTCTGTCTCCACAAATACCTAAATGCACCATCCACCTTTCTTCCTTCATCAATTCTATGGTTTACCTCGTCCTTCATAAACCCATACGCTGAAAAAGTCTGCTCCCAAATATCTGAACACTTTCACTTCTTCCATACTTCATTCCTCTAATGAGATAAACAATTTTTGTTTACCTAACTTGTTTGATACTCTCGTCACCTTACTCTTATTTATGTTCACTTTCAACTTTCTTCCTTCATGGCATATTGACAATACTGTACAGCCTCTCCCCACTTAGCAATGAACTCGTTAACCAACAAGTCAGACTTATGACAGGCTCTCTAGCCATTATGCATACCTAAATAATGTATATTAGAGCTGATTTCCTCTATTCTGTTTATTACAATATACAGTGCACTACTGTACAAACATTTAAAAATATACTAAATATGTTAAAATGGTGCAAGGGTGACATTGAAGCAATATCAAAGACGGTTAACATAATCCCACTACCATTATAGTATGCTCCTCGTTTAGCAATGAATTTGTTTACCGACGTGGTGTCAGGAATGGAACTCTGTCGTTAAGTGAGGAGAGGCTGTATTTATTTCAGATCAGAAACTTCACAGACTAAATATTTGCTACCTTTTTAAATTTTGTATTATGATCTTTCCAAAACGTCTGATTCCATTCTTGTGTTTCAAAGCGTGCATCTCGATACTGGCGTTCAAGAGGAGTCTCGTTTGGTGGGATGTAAAACTTGGTAATCCTCAAGTTAGATTCTGGGTCAGGTGGGCCAATGCAGTCACACTTTACTTCCTGTGGATCAATCGGTACTGCAGTATGATTAATCTCTTTCTCCTGCAAAAAAAATTATCAAAATATAACAAATATCATTCCTATAAATAAAAAAAATGTCCTTTTGAAACTTAGTAATAGATAAATTGCAATTACTGTGCCAACAGTAATTTTAATTATAAACCTGCCAATAAAATAAGGAATAGATTGTATATATACTTAAATATCAAATCCAGTTAGCCAAAATCTCTTGATGAATTCCTTTTGAAAGCTGATAAAATTCAATTAAAAGTTAGCTTCATCTAGAAGATGAGTTCCCTGCTCTCTGTTTCATATACAAATGTGTTGAACAAAATTTTATAAGAAAAAATATTAGACACATTTTCCGGATGCCTAAGCATACAGAATAAAAACTGCAAAGGTCAGGAGTGAAGCATATTATAAAAATATTAGTAGCATTTAAACTCTCTGGATTTCCTAAGATATCAAGGAATGCATCTCCAATGAGTATAGAGAGATTACTGTACATATTATGTATGCAAGTACTATACATATGTTATACGAGCCAAACATCTTCACTGATCTCTTTTTTTTTTCTATTTGATGGGTTTATTTAAGAGAGAATACAAAAAATTTGAATTTTTCCATCAACCCTTCTGTGCAGAGCAATCCTCTCTGGGCCAATTTACAGTAATTACATATTCAAGCAATAGTGTGTTTTCCTTACCTTGGATTTTTTACTCTTTCTATCTCTGATCACCGATGCACTGCTTGTTGATTCAGATGCAAAGCCACAAATTGGCAAAATTTCCACACTGTGTCTTTCTAACATCAGTGAACAATTCCGAGCGTGCAGTCCAAGCATTTTCCTGCAAAAGTTAAAGTTTATTACAAAGTGTCTTGTAGCTCAATTGCCAGTGCACTCGGCTCACACATTGAGGTCCTTGGTTTGATCCCGGTATGGGTGGGAACATTAGGATGTATTTCCTTTAGACACCTGCTGTCCCTATTCACCTAGCAGTAAGCTAGGTATCTGGTGTGGGTTGCATCCTGGGGACAAAACTGACCTAATTTGCCCAAAATGCTCTGCATAACAAGGGGCTTTTAATATAGTATGTCACTGATGTCAGCTAGGCCTCCATACATTGTACCTGGAGTTTACCTGGAGAGGGCTTCAGGGGTCAACGCCCCCATGGCTCGGTCTGAGACCAGGCTTCATGGTGGATCAGGGTCTGATCAACCAAGCTGTTACTGCTGGCTGCAAGCAAGCTGACGTACGAACCACAGCCAGGTTGGTCAGGTACTGACTTTAGGTGCCTGTCCAGCGCTTTCTTAAAGACAGCCAGGGGTCTATTGGTAATCCCCCTTACGTATGCTGGGAGGCAGTTGAACAGTCTTGGGTCCCGGACACTTATTGTGTTGTCTCTCAGTGTACTCGTGGCGCCCCTGCTTTTCATCAGGGGAATGTTGCATCTCCTGCCGAGTCTTTTGCTTTCATAAGGAGTGATTTTCGTGTGCAGGCTTGGTACCAATCCCTCCAGGACGTTCCAAGTGTATATTATCATGTATCTATCTCAAACCATACCCCGGCCGGGATTGAACAATCGTGTCATTACGATTTAGTGAGTCATGTATCTATCTCGCCTGCGTTCGAGGGAATACAGATCAAGGATCTTCAGCCGTTCCCAGTAATTTAAGTGACTAAAAATTTTTCATATTAGGGATCAAATGCATGTTTTACTGAAGATGGATAATTCAGTGCATCACATGGAACAATTGACAAAAACTTTACAATGTCAAATTACATTGTAGGACCTGTAACAAGATATACTTTTTTCCAGTGAGGAAAAAAAAACTATGGTACTTTTTACCCATCAAAGCTCTTGAAGCTAAGATCATGCCAACCAACTGACTTGTGTTTATTTGGGTTAGTATAATTTCATGACTACTTTTGTATAACAGATTTTTTCCCCTCAAGGGAGGTTCCTTGATGCTGGTGAGGGGCTCTTGATCTAGGGAATTGGATCTGTGCTTCGGTTCCCTGAATTGAGTCTGAATACCTTCCATCCCCCCTCACATGCGCTGTATAATCCTGCGGGTTTAGCGCTCCCCATGATTATAATAATAACAGATTTTTATAATTACGCTAAACAGTCTTTAAAAGATGTATAATGGTGATAAATTATTCAACCGTGGATAACCCAACAAAACTACAGTATATACAGTAACATTTATTGCTATTCATCATGCATGTCTCATGAGAGAATGAGGTTCCCCCATGGGAGAATGAGGTTCCCAAATAAAAAATATTTATAAAAACATTACTCGTAGGTGTGAGACACAAATATATTGTGAATAATATTCTCACAAACCTCGTATTATGACCAAGCAAGTTTAGGCACAGGTACACATAAGTACAACAATCATTATACATAGTGTAAATTTCCTAGAATAAATTACATTTATATTTATTATTTTACTATAATCAGCATGTATTTACCTATTTTTCCCTGGATCAGCAATGTACTTGATAAACCCTGATAACGTGAGTTAGTATTTTAAAGAGACGTACACCTTACTTGAAGGTTCCTGGTGACTACACTAGATTTATCGAGGTGAGGCGCCTTGAAATAGCTAGGTTCATGCCTAGAGTTAACTAGATCAGTGCTCTACTTCCTCCTCCTTGCTGCCTGCCAAGTGTCCCAATAATCTTTGTCATTGTTGTTGTTTTCGTTAGTGTTGGGGTTGTTAAGGGCCACCAAGGTAGTGTCTTTGTTGTTGTTGGTGTTAGGGGCCACTGACAGCTTGCACTGGCCGCAGACCTACCTCTTAATAATAATAATAATAATATAAAATATCTTTATTTCTGCAAGTACGTACAAGGTTTTCCCGGGCCTAGCTGACATTAATGTATACTATATACAGAAATCCCTTGTTATGCTAGAATTTCTCGCAAATTTAAGATAAGATTCGTTCGGATTTTACCGGAGGGTTAGCCACTCAGGATTCCAAGAATGTCAGGCGATGGAGGACTGGTCTAACTTCTATGTGGGGTTAATTTGTATCGCCCGTCACGGTATTGTGCCTTTTTTGTTTACACTGTAACTTATTTCACTGGGGCCCTCATCTTGTCCCTCAGGATGCGACCCACACCAGTCGACTAACACCCAAGTACCTATTTGCTGCCTGCAAATAGGTACTTGGGTGTTAGTCCTAAGAAGCAAGATCGCCACCCATCTAGATACCCATCAGTTACACAACCCAGGGCAACATGGGTTTAGAGCAGGTCGCTCCTGTCTGTCCCAACTACTGGATCACTACGGCAAGGTCCTAGATGCGCTAGAAGACAAAAAGAATGCAGATGTAATATATAGAGACTTTTCAAAAGCCTTAGACAAGTGTGACCATGGCATAATAGCGCACAAAATGCGTGCTAAAGGAATAACAGGAAAAGTTGGTGGATGGATCTATAATTTCCTCACTAACAGAACACATAGAGTAGTAGTCAACAGAGTAAAGTCCGAGGCAGCTACGGTGAAAAGCTCTGTTCCACAAGGCACAGTACTCGCTCCCATCTTGTTTCTCATCCTCATATCTGACTTTAGACAAAGGATGTCAGCCACAGCACCGTGTCTTCCTTTGCAAATGACACCCGAATCTGCATGACAGTGTCTTCCATTACAGACACTGCAAGGCTTCAGGCGGACATCAATCAAATCTTTCAATGGGCTCCTCTTCAAGGGGGGCTCCTTGGCGTGGTGAAGAGGCTCTTGGTCTGAGGAATTAAAACCTATCGGTCTTCTTCCTCAGACCGAACCTAATTACCCCCCAATCTCCCCTCCCCTATCCCATCCCCCCCAAATCCCCTTTTTTTCCCTTTTCCTCCTCCTCCTCCCCACTCCTCCCTTTTGCCCTTCCTCTTTTTGTCCTTTGGGATTTCTCCCAAGGCACGCTAGTTCCTAGGTAGAGGAAAGGACCCCGGGGGTTTCGATCCCTTTCCCGTTGAGGTTTCTTGGCGGTGGCGTAGTTTCCCGTGGAATCGGGGATTGCCTAGGGATGTCCCGATCCCTCCCCGGGTTTATCCCGGGGGTAGCTTTGGGTGTCTTTTGGGGGAAACGGGTGTATCTCTGGAAGCCACTTTCGGAATTCCGGGGGTGGTGGCGAAAGGAGGTATGCTTTGTGGCGGATATCGGCCGCCCTCTCTTTTGCCCACCGAGGTTAGCTCGGCAGATGTGAGGTTGCTATCCCAGATTGCTGGTTTTACTGGCATGAAGGGTAGGGTATGGCACGGGTTCCATGCTGCATCTGCGCTACTAGCGGGTTGTCGAGTCCTCTTGGGCGCGGAGGGAGATTTCTGGCCCTTTCATTCCTCCTAGGAACTATCCCTCCCCGGTCCCCTTTTTTTTTCTTTTTTTTATTTTTATTTTCTTTTCTTCTTTCTTTTTTTTTCTTAAAAACAAAAAAAAAGAAAGTAACCTAACCATGGCAGCCTAGTCTGAACCTGGTACCCCCGGGCCCCTTCTTGTTTACCCCCACCCGTTCTGACCCGCTCGTTTTGGGACCACTCTTAAGACATTCTCAGCCTCTGTACCTATTGCCGGTGCTGTTTCCTCCCCTGCTTCAGGTTTACTGAGGCCTCGACTGACTCCTTCGATTTACCAGACCTTCGCTCTCCTCTGGACTATGCTTCCGGCCTTTTCCCTTACGGTGCGGCAATTTTCAAATCGCCGACCCGTTCCCGTCGGCCCAAACTCTGGTCCCACGCCTAAACGTAAACGACAATTACCTGCTGATGTACTTCCCCCACCTTCCCCTTTTCTCGTTCTTCTCAGAAAAGATCGACACGTCCTTCACTACCTTTCCACGCTCGTTTCAGACTGAACAGTGGACTAAATTCTTCACTTTACGACCAACTTCCTTTTACTGCCTATCTTTCTGACCTAGTATTGGCAAGGCACTCCTACGCCATGTTGGTAAGATATTTCTTTTCATGCTTTTAAAGAGCGGTACGCGCATCATTACCGTACAAAATGCTACCCAGGCTCGTGAGCTCTCTCGTCTTTCCCATATAGATACTGTTCCTGTCACCTTGAAAACATCTTTCCCTCAATTCTTGTAGTGGTACCGTTATTCTCCCCCATACCATAGTTCAGCAAAATTTCCAGACATGTGGCACCGACATTCTAGACAGCTGGAACTCCAAGATCTCCCAATCCTCAAGGTAGACACTTACGTTCTTCCTGCCCGTGGGCGGAGCGATACCTAGCAATGTGGCTCTTTTTAACTTTTGACAGCCGAGAACTCCCATCCTCAGTTTATATGCGGACATCGGTTACAAGTTCGAAAGGTGATCCCTACACCACAACAGTGTAGAAATTGCTGGCGATTTGGCCATCCAGCGAAATATTGCAGATCTATCGCCGAATGCCCAGTCTGTGGTGCCGAGACCATTCTAATACGTCTTGCAATCGATCCCCCTCTTGCCTTAACTGTCATGAGGCTCACCCTTTCGTACTCTCGCCGTTGTCAGGTCTATTTAAACGAGCGGGGAAATCCTTTTACCTAAAAGGGAGAAGAAGGTCTCCCTTATGCCATGCAGTTTCTCATCCCCGCCCCCAAGGGAGACTCCACGTGTTTCTTATTCCCGTGTTTCAAAACGTCCCCCCACTTCTGGAAACCCCATCTTCTACACCCACCTCTGTGGTTACCTCTCCCATAATCACTCCTGTATCTAATCCTTTGCTGTCCTCGGCTCAGACGTCCCTCTTCAACGCCTCAGTTAATCTCGCTTCTTCGAGTTCTCTTTACAAGCCTAAAGTATCGACGAGACCTCGTACGACACCTCTTCCCAATCGTCCCTCTACTTCTCAAAAGTCAAAAAAGGTCCGGTAAACACCTCCTACCCATCTTCCACCTCCTCTTTACCCCCCCTGTCTCTGTCCCTAGTTCTTCCCCTCTCATGGCTCAGTTACAAGTGCAGGGTTCACCCTCCTCTCGTAATGTACCTTCTCCCCTGTTCCCTCCCAAGTTTCTTCTCTTCTGCTACCTCCAGGTTCCTGTCTCTTCTGCCCCTGCCACGCTTCTCCAGTTCCCTCCACCCTTTCGCCCCCCTACCTTGGTACAGTCCAATACAGTTCCAATCTTTACTCATCCTCCCCCTACCTTCCCAATATTGTCCCCCATACAACATCTCTGAATTCTAAAAACACTTGAAGCAATCTCTGAATATATTGCAGAGACAAACCATCAATGGACACTGATCCACCTTCCGCTCTTTCTCTCTCCTCTGCTCCATCTGCGCAACTCCTTTCTTCACAGCGCCCCGTTCCTTGGGCTGCTTGAACATTTTCCACTCCCTCCGCATTTTGGACTTTTCTAACCCTCCTAGTCCGTGGGAAAACCCTTACCTGCGGATTTCAAGTATCTTTATCATTCCCATTCATGGCCTTTTTACAGTGGAATATACGTGGCCCTCAGGGGTAATCGGGGTGAGCTTCAGATGTTACTCTCCCAGTTTGCCCCTGTTGGTGTTTGCTTAAGGAACCAAATTACACTCTGCTGTTATTTCTCACATTCAGGCTATAATTTATGTATTCTTCAGATCCTTTTCCTGATGGGACCTTTAATGAAAGTGCCCTTCTTCTCCGCATGATATTCCGTACCATCAGCTATTTGTTCATACTTCGCTGCATTACACAGCAGCCCGTATCCATTACATAGGTGGTATACGCTCTGTTCTTTATATCTCTCTCCTTCTCGGGCATTATCTATTCCGGATTTTGCCTTCTTGTTTCGTCATTACCGCCACCAATTCTGTTACTTGGTGTTTTTAAATGCCCACCATTTCCCTCTGGGGAGGGTCTCACTGTGATTCCCGTGGAATTCAGTTAGAGGCTTTTCTTCCCCACCCACCCCTCCATTTTTTAAAATACAGGTACTCACCCCCATTTGATCCTCGGACTATACTCTCTCTTGCATCGATCTCTAGTTTGCTCTTCCTCCCCCGGGCATTGGGACTTTACTTGGTCTGTTCTCCCGGACTTACATGACAGTGATCATTTCCCAATCATTCTTATTCCCTTCATATTCGCCACCTCTTCGCACCCCACGCTGGAAAATTTAATCGGGCAAATTGGAACCTTTACCCCAACCTGACTGTTTTAAAGAGGTTCCTTCTTGCCCTCCATCGATGAGCTTTTACACCTCTTTCATCCCCCTTTTTTCACCGCAGCTTCTCATTCTTTTCCCCAAACTTCGAGCAGGCTTTTCTCAGAAATGCGTGCCTTGGTGGTCTCCTGTTGTGCTCGTGCAGTACGTTTGAAACCGCCTGCATGGGGCAGGTACCGGTACAATGAACCACAGAGCGACTCCTTTATTTTAAACAGAAGCGTGCGAATCGCTCGCCGTGTCATCCGTGACGCTAAACGCACTTGCTGGCGAGATTATGTCTCCACCATCACCTCTGCTCCTCTATGAGTGCAGTCTGGAAAAAAATACGAAACTGAGTGGTAAAATTTTCTCCTGACCCGGCTCCTGTTCTGCGGGTTGCCGGTGTTGATATAGCAAACCCACTAGATGTTGCCAATGAAATTGGCAATCATCTGGTCCGTATTTTCTCAGGGACTCCATCTATGCCCTCATTTCTTTCCTAAAGTCTGCCAGAGAGTTAGCACCCTTGGGGCTTTTTTCTCTCAGAGAAAAACAGTATAATGTGCCTTTTACACTTCAAGAACTGGAGGCAACACTCTCAGTTGTCGATCA